ACACACACACACACACACACACACACACACACAAATAAAACAAATAAAAAAATCCTCCTATTCTGTATCTATGCTCAGTCTTTTCAGCCAACCTCCAACTTATTTAGTAGCAACAAGCCCACAAGTTATTATTCACATTCTTCCCAAACCTTCCACCTATTTAGCCCCGTAGTTAAATTGTAACTACCAGCTTGATTGCACAAGCATATATGTGGTCACTTAGTAGGTTTTGTTTATTCGTTATTTAAGTGTTCAGTTATACATATGTGAGGCAAAGAAAAATATCCTGGCTTCAGCTGCTTTTGAATTGAAACATAAAACAGTGGTTGGTGATGACATCGGGGAGCATTAACGCATTAGCAAGCTTTATATTTCTACCCCCCTGTATGCTTTCATGAATCATTAAGGATACAGCTAAAGGCGTGATCTCTGACCCTTTCTGACGTGCATCTTTTTAATACTGCTGAGGAACAGGTTTTTATAAACAGTCATCTCCCAGGAACTATGTAATAGCTTTTATGGTGCATGTGAAGCACTACACAGGCTGATTCAAGGAAGCTGGTTTCAAGGTAGAATACCATTTATGTATCTTGTTATGCTTTTTATAATGTTTTTTTCTGAATCTTTCATCCTGGTTGCGTCATAAGAAATCTGTGTGTGTGTCTGTGCACGTACCAGTGTGGTCAAGACAAAGCGTTATAGTCTCACCTCATTTCCATTATATGTAAAGTTCACTATCTGTGATATTTTATGTGAAATACACAGGCAGATGAAGTCTAAGAGTTGAAATCTCCATGATATTCACTCTTACAGTCATTACTGGCCTTCCCCGAGTGTTATGCTGCACACAGGAACTGTCACTGGGCATCATTTACACCATCGACACTACATTTGTTTCCAAGGAAGGAAAAAATAATTGGGTTCCTTTCAGAGAAACGGGTTCGTAGATTCATATTGATACACCTGCTGGGATGCGAGTAATGGTTTCTGCTTCCTTGACAACCTCACTTCTCTGAAAGAATACAGTTATATTCTGTGTCCTGCACGTCTGAATGCTTTCGCCAGTTTTAAGCAGTGAAAAGCAGCACAACATATTTGCTAATTGCTCACACAAATGAAGGATTAGAAAGGAGATTTTGACTACGGATGTAGTTCCTCTGGACCTGAGTCATCCTTTTAAAACGTGCCCTGAATTAGATGACGAGTGCAAACCAATGGCAAGTGTTGATTGCTATCCCTGAGTCCAGCAGCTGGCTAAAATCCAAGCCAAGTCGATATTTCCCAAAATGCTTGTCTTTAAGA